CAGCAGGACCATCCTTGAGCTCCACAGAATCTTAGAATCCCAGACTGGTTTGGGTTTGGAAAGGACCTTAAAGATCATCTAGTTCCAACCCCCTTGCATGGGCAGGGACACCTCCCACCAGCCCAGGCTGCTCCAAGCCCCATCCAACCTGCCCTTCAACACTGCCAGGGATGGGGCAGCCACAGCTTCCCTGGGCAACCTGGGCCAGGGTCTCCATGCTGGCTTTCCCTTCTGCTGCCCTCTCTGCAGTGCACTGGGGTCTCAAAACTGGAGTTTGGAGGCACCAAAGTAATAATACACCCACTACTGCTTTTAGTACAGCCCGCTCCCCAAAACCAGCCTCTGAAGGAGGTACTTGGCACCTGTCTGGGTTGGTTAGATCATGTTTTGGTTAACTGGTGGAGCAGACAGGCATTATAAATTCTTTTGCATATTGTGCTGACACGACATGTGGGTCCAGTGCTTAAACAAAAACAGGCCACTTAAAAATCCATACTTTTTTTTTATCTCCACAGAATTCTCCATCGTGAGACCTCCGACCACAGTATCTGTCCTCTGGCAGCTGGTGGAGCTCTGGAGAAGAGGGAGAGGGAATAGAATAACACCACAAAGGGACTGTCTCCTGTGTGGTTTGTGACTCATCTGCAGAAAACGGCTTCTCCCTGGTGGCCTTGGCATGAGGAAGCAGCAGAAGTGAGTTCCTTAGAGTAGATCCACTGATGGTGCCTTCCAGGAGGACAGAGGGGAGCTGTCTCTGACTGCAGGCTGAGGCAGAGGGTGGCAGAAGAAGGAACCAGAGCTTCCCCCAGAGCAGGTCAGGGTGCACCTTTGGGTCATCTCTGCTGGGCAGCCACTCCCTGGAGCAGTGAGTGGCTTTCCAAGTGTTCATGGAGCAGATCCCAGGACATGGCACTGAATCTCTGGGAGGAGAAGACCACAAGTGAGCTCAGTCACCCAGCCTCATGTCACCAGTCAATAAACCTTTTGCACTTGAAATGCATCTTGGATGGTGGGAGTGGCTTCAACCTGTGGTTTCTGGGTCATCCTCGCTACAAGGGCTGGTAGCAAGAGGAGGTGGAGCAGTGGTTTAAAACTGGAGGAGGGGTTAAACATCAGGAAGAAACTCTTTGCTGTGAGGGTGGTGAGACCCTGGCCCAGGTGGCCCAGAGAAGCTGTGGCTGCCCCATCCCTGGCAGTGTTGCAGGGCAGGTTGGATGGGGCTTGGAGCAGCCTGGGCTGGTGGGAGGTGTCCCTGCTCATGCAGGGGGGTTGGAACTGGATGATCTTGAAGGTCCCCCCCAACCCAAACCAGTCTGTGATTCTCTATGATTCCTGCCTTGCAGAGGTCCTGGAAGTCTTGTTCCAGGAGCAGGGTGTCCTGGTGGTAGGTGCTGCACAGATGCTCTGAGTTTGTTCTGTTGGTTCCACCTGCACTTTCCTGCTGTAGAGGACCTGCAGCATTAACGTTTGATGCTTTTGGGTGACTCTGGTGAGCAGGTTCTTGCAGCTGCTGTTCCTCACCAAGCTGCGCTGCGGTGGCTTTGGGGTGTCATTGCAAAGGAAGTGCTCTGGTGTGGAAACGGCTGTGGCTG